TGTGTGTGTGTGTGTTTTCTCTGTCGTACTCTGCAGCTCTGGCTAGCCCAGAACTTGCTGTGCATACCAGGCTAGCCTGAAACTCTCAGAGCCTGTGTATGCCTCTGTAACATATGGTTTTTCAAATCAAATTTAAGTTTTAGAACTATCTTTAACAAAAAGGTAAAGTGTAGAGCTTACTGAGTCCTGGGAAGGTTCTCATGAAGCATTTGCCAGGCACTTTAGTTATATCACATGGAAACCAATTTTACTCCATTTAAAAAAGATGAAATGTACATAGACATCAAAATATTATGAAGTGATGACTTTCATAGCATGGTAAAATTTACCTTTTAATCTAGCTGTGGAAGTGGAAGGTCATCAATTACCAAATTTAAAAAAGCATAAACAAAATAACCCAACGGAATCTTACCGAGAAACAGACAGCGAGAGAAATGTTTGCATAGACATGGATCCAAATGGAACCAGAGAACCCAGGCCATTTTGCAGTCTTAAACTCTCTGCCACTATTTTTATGAACTCAGTAAAACAAACCACGGGGTGAAAGATTTTTTGGAAAAACCTTTCTGGTTTCACTGTGTATTTCATGACTGAGCAAATGTGACATTAAGTTTTATACCCTGTGGCTTGGAGTTAAACACTTGCTCTGCTCAGAATGGCACCACTCAATTAAATAGCATTTTTCTCAGCCTACACCCACCATCATTACTCTGTTTCAGGGAAACAACGTGAGTACTGACCTATATTGCGCTTCTTATTATCAATGGAGATGAAGCGTATGCAGGGATTACTGGTGATGTACTGGCCAGCCCAAGGGACATCAATCTTCATGCCTGCTTCATAAAAGAGGCCCAGAGCATAGCGAGAGGAGTAGCTCACCGATGCCAGTTGCTGCCTTTGGCATTCACTAATTACTGTGGAAGAAAAAAACAAAACATAAACTCAAAAATATCATCTTTTCCTTTAGTCATCAAACCCAAAGCTCCTTTAAACAAGTTCTAAGTGTCTCCAGTAGTCCCCTCTTACCGTGAATTCTGAAGGGTCATGTAATGCTCTTTGTTTTATTTTTTTTTTTTCAGAATGTTTACTAATGCTGGTACAATTCCATTTAGTAAGATGAAAGTTTGAGTTCATTAGACTCTCAAAATGTGGCTCTCAGTGGCTGTTGCAGCCTCATATCCTATTTGCTGGCCATGGACTGTCTGGCAACATTATAGATTTTGTATACTTGCCTCTTAACTATGAGTTGAACGGTTTTGCTAATCATTATCACAGCATTTCACGTAATTATAACCATAATCTTATAAAATTGAGTATTACTTCCACGTAATAGGTGAGGAGACTGATTCTTCACCTCTTACGGCCCCTTCATATGTCTGTGCCATTTAACTTGCTTGTTGGTCACGTTCCCATTATTGCACTGTAGTCGTTTCTTAGGCAGACGACCACACCTCAGTCATCAGTGTGATGGGGCCCTTCCTGATAGACATCTTCAGCAAGGCCCAATAAGGTTTAGGGAAGACAGTTAGGGTACAGACTTTTATAGTTAGACAGAATACTTGGAAATTTCTCATGTAGTGAGAAATATCCTGATTTAGAAGAGCACATTTCAAGGATCTTTGGTCAAACCTTGGAGAAGTGGCTTTAGGAATACAAAGAGGTGGGAAGAATATTCCATAATTATTTAAGCACAGAAATAATAAAAATTACAAATACTATTAGAGTAGTAGTTGACAAACTTTTTAGAATTACGTTGTTGAATTTAACCAGTCTTGCATGTTATATATTTTTAAATATTCTTATTTCACATCTCTGGAAAGCTGCAATTTGGAGAGGTTTAATCATGCTAACTGGTCACAATGAAGCTAGAATTCTCATTTTTAGACATTGACACATCTTTATCACCCCAATCTGTTCCTGTTGACTGTAGTTTCAGAATAAACTCCAACATTGCTTTCTTCTCAGACATTAATGATTATTTTATACTCAAAAGTAAAAGCTTATCATTTCCTCCAGACACGATTTTCTGCCTTATTAAAAAGCTTTACCTGCTTAATAAACAAATGTTCACCTGACACTGGCCCCATTATTTTCAGAGCATGATGGGCCTTATTTTTATTAATTTAATTCACTTTTCAAGCTGTGCTTGACATCAAGTTATGCTTACTGTTTTCTGAAAGAGAAGAGGTGAGAGCTGTAAGTTACAGAAGTTAAGATCATCTCCCCAAATTGCCCATTTGTGGAATTAAAAACAAACAAACAAACAATCTTTCAATTAAGAAAAACTGAAAAGAAAGCAATCAACCAACCAAACAAAACTGTGAGCTATTGAGTACCCACAAATGCTTGAAACATTTTTTAAAATTAAAACTAAAGGGTCAAGAAGGTCGACAGCCAAATTGGATTTTACCTCCACCATATTTGTACATGTAGCTAAGTTTTAAACAAACTGGCAAGTGGCAAATCCCCTTGGGTAACCTTTTGAAAAGGTAATTGGTATCTATAGAGAAAAAGCAACTAACCATAAACACTCATGTCTGATGGGGCATGGGAGGTAAGACTTCTGACTCAAACCATCCAATTTCCCACAGGCTCACTTATCAAAAATGTCATCTTTAGGATGTCAAGTTTTTGGTTTTTGAAATACAGATCAGACCTAAAAAACTGTCTCATTTTGTTTGAAAGAAAATTTCTTATGCTGAAGGAACTAACCTTAAAGGACCCCAACTATGTATGTACATATGTATATATATATTCTAGAAAGCAAAATAATAATGTATCAAGTATCATGGTATATGAAAAAGATACATGAGAACCAAACATGGTAGTGCATACCTTTCTTCTCAGAACTCTGGAGGCAGAGGCAGAGGCAGACAGGTCTGTGAGATTGAGACCATCTGAATCTACATATTGAGTTCCAGGACAGCCAGGGCTACACAGTAAGGCCCTGTCTCAAAGGAACAAAAAGACACATAATCACAAAGCAAGGCTCAAGTGAAAGTGCATAGTTTCTGTATAATCAACTTTGACTTGAATGCTGCCATCCGCCACGTTCATTTAATTGTGAGTCAATGGGACTGCACAACCTCTAGAGTTAGGCAATGTGTATTTGCATATCACAATAACCTTCAAATCATCTATTATTTATATATTTACACATATAAATTATGAGACATTTTATGATTATGATGACAGTCAAAGTGCTCAAAGGTAGAGTGAGGAGAAGAGTTCATTAACGAGGGAACCGTTCCTAATGCATGACCGTTTCATGTGTGTCTTTGTGCACATTTGTGCACATGCGCGTTGACAGGAAGAAGAGGAGGAAAGGGCAGGAACAGAAAAGACTTGGGCTGTACTCCTGAGTTACATTAAGTAATTTAGTTTTCTTAGTTTCCTACCGTGACTCATTCCTCTAGTTTTCTACTCTATAAAAGAAGAATGGTAATATATGCTCTTTCTGCTTTCTGTTTTTGGTGACAAAATATTCATCCATCATCCTTCCCTACCCTATGCCAGGTTCTCATATTGATGTGAGGGGTTTAGAGCAGGAATAAAAAGTAGATGCTCCCATCTAACTTTCATGTTATTGGGAGAGAGGCAAATTCTAAAATGCAGAACCAGGTAAACAGAGAATAAGCAATAAAGAAAAATGAAGCAGTTTAAGGCGACAATTTATGGGTGAGGGCAGTATGGCTATCTTATTTCAGCTGTCAAAGAGATGTCTCCTCAGAGGATTCTACTCTGACGTTGGAAGCTACTACTGCTTTGCCAGTCAAAGACACACATGACATGTTTTCTGTTGTAATAATTGTAATTTTGGGTACAGGAGAAGACAGTAGGCATGTAAGAATGAAACTGGGCCTAATGGCTATTGCAGTATCTTCAATTTGATATAACAACAGAGGAACTTAGAAGTAGTTCCATTTTAGATAGGATATCTATCTATCTATCTATCTATCTATCTATCTATCTATCTATCTATCTATCTATCTATCTACCTATCTATCTATACATATAAGATATATGATATATGCATGTGCCTGTCCATGTAAGTGTATGTGTATGCATACTGAGGTAACAATTATGAGCATCCATCCATTTGGACTGAGATGGAGTAGGCTCTAATGTTGGCATGTGGGGTTGTCTGACTTTCTTATTACTGTGTAGCAATTCTTTATACATTCTGAATGTGACTCTTCCAAGAAGAATGCAAAGCTTTCTCCTCTGAGGCTCACTCCTTACTCTTTTAACAGTATGGTTTCATGTATCTAATATCCTACTTCAAGATACTGAAAGCTTGGATATTATTTTGAAGTTAAGTCTGATAGGGTTAAGTCTGGCTGATAAGTCTGATAAGTTAAGTCTGGCTTGGGAAGTTGGTGAGAGGAAAAGAGATCAGTTGAAGAATACAGAGAATGCTATTTAATTTTATATGCCCTAGTTAAATGAATAATTATTATTAAACAATCACAACATAAAATAAAGAACTAGATTATAAATAACCTGAGGCAAGAGCTATATCCCATGGGCTTTGCATTTCTATGACTCATTCTTGTATGGCATTAACAACTATTAATGAAGACATCCTCACGTTAGGTTTGGTAAGTTCATAAGAATATACAATGGGAAAAAATCACTATGTTGTCAGTACCCAGAGAAACAACAATTAATGTTTTGATAATATTTTTCCTTTCTATCTTCCTGGTTTTCCTCAAAGAGGACTGTGAACATGTTAGACACACAGTTGTTACAGACTAAGCTTTTGTTTGCTATATGACAGAAGACCTCTATGTGAATGTACCTTTTAACAGTGAAATAGAGGTTGTGTGATGGTGTCATTTCCTTAATGTTGGGCCTTGTTTCTTTCTTCTGTTATCATAGCCATTATAAACATTTTTATGTATAGATATTTATCTGTGTTTCTAATTATACCCCTCAGGCTTGAAGCAGAACGAGTTAATTTTTAGAAAGTTATGCCAATTTTTAGTTTCTATTAATGATACAGGAAAGAACCATTTTGTTACACCCTTGCTTCTATTTTATTTTTTTCTAATATGAAAGAAAAGAGACATTTTATTTAGGCTCTCATATAAGAAAATTGAACATCTCTCACATACCTAGTAGCAAATATGTACTTGCAGCTTTGGAAATTGTTAACATCACTTTGCTAATCAACCTATTTCATTCTTCATGTTATTAATGTGAGTTTTAATAATGGGTAATATAGAGATTTTTTCACTTATTGTGTATTATATAACTCTCTTGAGGTCTTATTTGTTTATATGATGTTACAATATTTATGCAGGTAATCAAGGAGCTGTTTCTCCTTCACTCCTTGTATTTCAACAGTTAGAAACCAGAAATGTGTCGCAGCCACCTTTCCCCTCAGTGTTGATCTGTAGCCAGGGCTCTGACTGTCTAGAATCTGAATTCCCTTCAGCTCTGGTTTCTCAAAGCCTTTGGCCAGTTAGGAACATAGAAGGGCACGGCAGTGTAAAATGAGACAGAAACTATGATAAATATGGCTTCCTCCCGATTGGCCTGATTTGCTGGTGCCGGCACCACTGTCTCTTCCACAGCTAAGCTCCTTTCAGGCGGCTTTCCCCTCTTGTTTCCAATCCTCCTGGGATGCTGGCCACCTATCATTCCCACACTCATTTAGGCGAACTGGTGATAATGGCTTCCTGCTGTTCCTAGTCTCTGGATGCTACAACTTCCTTTACTGGTTGCTTTAACCATTCCAGGGCTTGCAGCAAATCTTTGCAGTAAGATGCATTCAAAGATAATGTCTTTCTTTGCTGGGACCTTGAGTGAAATTGTGTGAAGTTTATGCTTTTCTAGTTTCTTCTAAGAAAGCACCCAAGCAAAGTCAGGTAACATTCTACTCTCATGAATGGTAGAAATTAACATCTTAAGGTCAAATCATGGGCCCCCGCAGTGTGAT